ATGCAGTGTTCTATAGACTAACTGTGCCCATTCCAAATTCATATACTGAAATCTAATCCCCTGTGTGAGGGTATTTGGAGGCAGGTCATTTTGAAGGTCATTAGGTCATGTGGGCCGTCCCCTCATGAATGGAATAGTTCTCTTATGAAAGAGGCCCCAAAGAGATCCTTTCCTCTCTGCCTTGTGAAGACAGAACAAAAACATGACCATCTATGAACCAGGAAGCAGGCTCTCACCAGCTGTTAAATCTGCTGGAACTTTGATCTTGGACTTCCCCAACCACAGAAGTGTGAAGAATAAATTTCTGTTATTTATAAGCTATTCAGCCTATGGAGTTTGTAATAGCAGCCCAGACAGACTAAGATGCGGTGTGAAAGAAATAGAGCAGTCAGAGTTGATATCGGAGTTGATGTTGAAGGTGGAGGAGATTTCAAGATGAGGAAACATATGAGGAACATACAAATATCTTACTTTTTGGTGTTGTCACATATTTGTGACTTACAAGTACCACAATCAGACCTCTTCCACATTGCAGGATTAGATTCTTATATGATTTATCATGTATTGATATAGCAATTTAAATAGATGCACCAGAAGACCGTTGCTCCATTCTTGAAGCTAGGTGCCCAAAAGTCCCATTAGTACTTTGTAATTCACATTTTCCCAGTCCCACTTTATGTGTTTATTCACTGCCTTATATTATTTTTGTGTGATTTCCTTATCAACAATACCTATCTCTATCTTCTATTAATATATAAAGATTGGAGCACATTATTAGAGTCAGTTCCTATTGCTTAAATAAATATATTTTCAATTAAATTCCTGATACATTAATATTATTTTAAAATTTCCAGTTAGTTAGATTATCATTTAGTTTTTGCTATTTTTTTCTCAGTATAACATGAAAACTTGTTGTGTTTGCCTTTTAATATTTAATGAGTGTAATTGAGTTTTGTAATTGATATGTATGTTCTTGTAAATGAAATATATACTCTTGTGTCTATTATTTGATTTTCTTTAGATATTTTCCAAGTTTACTATATTTATTACTTTATTTAGCCAAGGAATATTTTATTGATGTGGGTATATAGTAGGTATATATATTTATGGGTTACATGCGATATTTTGATACAGGCATGCAATGTGTAATAATCACATTAGGGTAAATGGGATATCTATTACCCTCAAATATTTAGCCTTTGTGTTATAAACAATCTTGTTATACTCTTTTAGTTATTTTTAAATGTACAATTAAATTATTTTTTGACTATAATCACCCTATTGTGCTAGGAAATACTGAGTATTATTCATTATTTCTAACTATTTTTTGTACTCATTATCCATACCCAATTTCCTCCACACCCAACCACTACACTTTCCAGCCATTGGTAATCATACTTCTACTCTCTATATCCATTACTTCTATTATTTTAATATTAGCTCCCACAAATAATTGAAAACATGTTATGTTTGTCTTTTTGTACCTGGCTTATTTCACTTAATATGATTGCCTCAAGTATCACCCATCTCTTGTTGCAAATGACAGGATCCCATTCTTTCTTGTGGCTGAACAAGTACTCCATTGTGTATATGTACCACATTTTCTTTATTCACTCATCCCTTGATGAATACTTAAGTTGCTTACAAATCTTGCCTATTGTGAATAGTGCTGCAGTAAACATGGGAGTACAGATCTCTCTTCGATATACTGGTTTCCTTTCTTTTGGGTATATACCTAGTAGTGAGATTGCTGAATTGTATGGTAGCTCTATTTTTAGGTTTTTGAGGAATGTCCAAACTGTTTTCCATAGTGGTTGTACTAATTTGCATTCCCAAGAACAGTACACAAGGGTTCTCTTTTCTCCACATCCTCGCCAGCATTTGTTATTGCCTGACTTTTGGATAAAAGCCATTTTGACTGGAGTGAGATGATATCTCATTGTAGATTCGATTTGCATTTCTCTAATGATCAATAATGTTGAGCAGCTTCTTAAAAAAAAGGAAAAGAGAAAATTGTTTCATCTAATGTAACTTTTATTATGAAAAAATTTCAAACAGATACAAATGAAGAGAATGGTATAATCATCAGCTCACCTCTCCCAGGTACCAACGATCTAGATTAAACAGCTATCCACATTTGCCTTTCAGATTTCATCTCCGCTATCCTCTCTTTTTTTGTTGTTGTTGGAATATTTAAAACCACATCCCAGGTATCACTTTATCTCATCTGAAAATACTTCAGTATAAAACTAGGCCAGCCGCCGTGGCTCACGCCTGTAATCCCACAACTTTGGGATACCAGTGCGAGTGAATCACTTGAGGTTAGGAGTTCAAGACCAGCCTGACCAACGTGTTGAACCCCCGTCTCTACAAAAACTTAGCTGAGTATGTGGTGGGAGCCTGTAATCCCGGTTACTCAGGAGGCCGAGGCAGGAGAATCTCTTGAACCTGGGAGGTGGAGGTTGTGGTGAGCTGAGACCATGCCACTGCACTCCAGCTTGGGCAAAAAAGCGAGACTTCATCTCAAAACAAACAAACAAACAAACAAACAAACAAACAAACAAACAAAGGAATAACCATAATACTGTTATCACTTTCAGTGCGTTTAAAATAATTTCTCAGTACTATCTAGCATTCAGTTCATGTTCAGTTTTCTTCATTTGCCTCGAAAATGTCTTTTTACTTTTGGTCCATTTGAATCAAGATCAAAACAAAGTTTTCAATTGATTGATATGTCTTTAAAGTCTTCTTGAAGGTGTAACATAAATATAACTTTTAAAATGTATATTACTTAAAATTATACTCTGCCTATTTTAAAAAATATCTCTGTTGAGATATAATTCACATACTGTTGCAGGTTGATAAATGATCCTTCTTCTCCCCAAGATAACAGATCCAAATCCCTGAGACAAGCACAAAAAGGCAAGAAATCTAACCAGTAAAAGATGAAGCTTGAAGATGTTTACCAAGTGTCTAATCTAGGTTGAATCAAAGTCTTTTGCAACCATTGCTTAAAAATACTTTTTCTTCTCATTGCATATCACATTTATTGCAAGTAGACAATATGTTATTTTGAAATTCTATCTTTTCTGAGCCAAAAGATTTCGAGATTGAGAATCTTAATGGTCTGTTAAAATATAGATTATTTAGTGTCTGATCTTCATGACATTAAAATATTCTTAAAGTTTTTATAACAATAAATAGTATTTTTGTTCTGTAATTTAAAAACTATGCTTGAATGTACTAATTTAGTTTTAAAGATTTTTAAAGTTTATTTTAGCTTAGGAAAGTCATTTAAATATCTCCACCTTTGTTCTCGTATCCTTTCTTTGGACCACTCTGATGAACTTTAGAGCCCCTTGATCATTGGTTGTTTTTAAATGTGTAAGTCTCAGATGTCTCTGTTGCAACAACAACAACAAAATGGAAAATTATGCCAGAAGACAGTTATTGGCAAACTGCTACATGACTTTATGGTTTAAAACTGATAAATGGACACGTGAGAACATTGAGTAAGAATACCTATAACTAATAAGAAACATGGATTATAAGGCCCTGGAGGAGTGACTAAAATGAAAATCTTTTAAATTCTTAACTAAGTTGCTATGGTAGCTTCTTTTAGTCGTAGTGTATTTGGTTTAACCATTTTAACATCTCTACTCAATAGTTTTAATCAATATTTTAGTTAAATATGTAAACACAAATTTCTGCAAAATGTGTGTAGATTTTTATTTTTTTGTCAAGAGTACATAAAAATTTTTTATAAATATGAGTTTATAAAATGCAGGTAGGATATACTTATAACTAGCTGTTAGGAAATAGCATAGTAGAAAAGATGGAGGAATATAACTTTTAAACTAAAACTGTGATTAATTGAATATCTAGCAGGGAAAACCAGTCTTGATTATGCTATCACATAATTTTACTTCTCAACTTGCCTATAAATTGGAACTCTAAATAATGTAGTGCAAAATGAAAACTGAAAATAATAATTCCCAAATTATTTAGAACAGTAATTTTGTCTTCATTCTCTGCATTGCTTATATGGTTTTGTTTCCAAATCCACTCTGAAGCTAAAAGTTAGCCTGTTGAAATTCCTTGTGACAATGAATCATTCTCAATTGATAGCAAAGAGATAATTTTGGAACATTTGTGTTTAGCACATGCATTAAAGACGAAAATCATAATGAGTGATAGCCAAAAATGAGAACCAAGAAATAACTTTTTTCCTTTTCTGCTTACCTTACTTTATTTCCCTACGTGCTATACATTTTATACATATTTTAATTTTTTGCCACTAAAATATAACTTCCCTGGAGACTGGGTGTTTGCTGTGTTCCCTTTTTTATTCCAAGTGACAAAACAGTGCCTAGAATATGATTTTTAAAATCTCACATATCTGAAATACTAGGTATCAAGTTGTGAGTTTAAAATATTTCCTCCCTAAACAATTAAATCATTTCCTATAAATGTGGATTCACACTTTTGTTCAGCATTTTAAAACTGATATTTCTAAATTCTGTATAAACTTCGCTTGAGAAAAACGAAAATGTCCAGCACTTTAAAACTGATTTTTCTAAATTCTGTATAAACTTGACTTGAGGAAAAGATGAAAGAGTTACGTATTGGGAGACAACCTGCTTAGTGTTTCTTAAACCAAGTTCCAATAGCTTCCTCTATCCCCTCATACTTTTTTACTTCCATCTCAAAATCTATCCTATTTTATACCTGCCAACATTGAAGCTAGGATGCCTTTTTGGTTCTGGCTGACACACCTTCTCCTTCCTACAGTTTTTTTTTTTTTTTTTTTCTCTATCTCTTCTGTATTCATACATGTCTCTTAATCTGATTGCTCCATTCACAGGTTTCTGATCTCATTTCTATTTCACAGAAATAGAAGTGGTTCTTCCATCAATGGCAAACTCCAGGTCATATAATCATTACCTATTACTTGTTTGTTTTAACCCATCCTTTAACTTGGGAATCCAAAAAACATAACAGTGTTCACTTTGGAATCACATAGACTAAAACTGAAGCGATACAGTGAAGATTAGAATATCTATCCCCTGTGCAAGAATGACAAATTTGTAAGACATTTTCTATTTTTCAAATAATCATATAAAAAGATGTTAAACACCATACATCATTAAAGAATTGCAGATTAAAACAATGAGATATCACTGCACACTCTTTAGAATAACTAACAACCAAAACACTAACAGCACTAAGTGTTGGCAAACTTGTGGAACAACAGACGCTCTCTTTAGTTGCTGGTGGGAATCTAAATGGTACAGCACCTTTGGAAGACAATTTGACAATTTCTTATAACACTAAACATACTCTTACCATACGATCCAGCAATGGTACACTTTGATATTTGCCCAACTGGATTGAAAATTACATCCACAAAAAAATCTGCACGCATATGTTTATGGAAGTTTTATTCATAATTGTCAAAATTTGGATGCAAGCAAGATGCTCTTTAATAGGTGAATTGATACATAAACTCTGGTATATTCTATAATGGAATATGTTCAATACTAAAAAGAAATGAGCAACCAAGCCATAAAAAGATATAAACAAAACTTAAATGCATATTACTATGTGAAAGAAGCCAATCTGGAAAAGCTACAAACTGCATAATTACTTCAATATGACATTCTAAAAAAGACAAAAGTATAGAGACTAAAAGGATCAGTGGTTGCCTGGGGAGGGAGCAGGGAGGAATGAATAGGTGGAACCCAGTGGACTTTTAAGGTAGTGAAACTCTTCTGTATGATACTATAACGGTGGATACCTGTCATTATATATTTCTCAAAACCCATGAAATACACAACAAGAGTGCATCCGAATGTAAACTATGGAGTTTGAGTGATAATGCCATGTCAGTGTTGGTTCAATGCTTGTAACAAATGTATTACCCTGGTGTGAGGTATTGATGGCAGAGGAAGCTGTATGTGTCAGGGAGAGATATAGGAGAACTCTCTGTACTTTCCATTCAGTTTTGCTGTGAAGATAAAACTTTAAAAAATCTATTTTTTAGAAGAAAAGAGAGAAGGTACTTTTCTCTATTGACATTTTGAACCAGACACAATTTGATGACGGGACTTTAAATCATTGCTTTGTTTAAAAGAATTCTCTCTCCTTCTAACTTAAATCTATGATTAAAGTAGTTGAACTATTTTTTTATTATACTTTAAGTTTTAAGGTACTTGCGTACAATGTACAGGTTTGTTATATATGCATACATGTGCCATGTTGGTGTGCGAACTATGTTTTTTAAAGGAACAATTTGTGTATTAATTATAACCAGACAGACAACGTGGACTGAACAAATGTGCAATTTCAAATCAACCTGTGCATGACATGGAAGATTTTTTTAGCTGTCACAAAGAAACCATGCTAAAGTTTTAGGATACCACAACCTCTGCACTTAAAATGAGAAAGTCATTATAAGTGAGGAAAATTAAAATGTTACAAATGATATCTAAACTACAAAAAAGCATCGAAAAATTTTTATCACACATTAACCATGATCTATGCCAAAAATGGTGATTCACAGACAAAATTCAGTTTACATATTTATTAATTTATGTATTTATTTACGATTTACACTGGATGTAGTATTTTTAACTGGAGAAATTCTTTACAATGAAAGTATTCTGAAGCTCATCAATGATCTTCTCACTTCCTATTTTCTCCCTCCTTTCATTCTGCCTCACACATTAGCAAATCACCTGGTACTTGAAAGCACCTGAATGACAACTATCCCCTGATCTAATCTTCCTTATAACAATTGCATTCTAAACTATTGAAAAGTTAATCTTCTAACAATTCATTGATAACCAAAATCAACTAAAAATAAAAGCAATGAAAACTTCTGTAAGTGACATCAGTAAAAGTGATGGAGTAGGAAACTCCAAAATCTTGTTACTCCACAAAATGAGTAAAGAAACTGGGAAAAACTTTCAGAATTGACTGTACCAGAACTCTTCAGATTCATAGAAGTTTCCAACAATGAGGTGAATGCTTAATCAAGGTGGAGAAAATAATCTGAATAAGAGAGTTTTCTAATATATTATCTTACTCTGATCCAAAACCACTCTTCAGTTCAGAAGTAGTTTTGCAGACAACAACCCACTTCTACTATACTTTTCTAACGCCAAATAAAGCAAAACAGACTATATTCTTAAAGAATTGTAATTGTTTCTTTTGATCTGTCTGGGAACTCTTCAAAGGACCTGTATTTATCCCACTTGGAACTCTACTAGTGATGAAGCAGCTAGTGAGACAGTATTTGTCAAATATATGTAAAAGAAAAGGTATTAGCTACTGCTGCCTGTGGAAAGGAATAAAAGTTGAAGAAAAAATAGACAAACCAAAAGCTTGGAATGAAAGACTTGAGAATGAATGATTTGAGGTAAAATATATATGTATTTTTCTCTCTATATATTTATATATATTATATATGTGTGTATATATACACACACACGTATTATTTATATACATATATACATATATTTATATATATGTATACATATATATAAATGATCTTCCATATATCCCAAGAATCTAAAAGGCCATGACATGCCAAGGGCTGGGTACATGCTCAAAAAAACTTAAAAAGCCTTAAAAAAACTTAAAAATATCTCTCCTCTGTTAAACCTTCAGATTCTGCACAAGCAAGAAGAGAAGGCTAACACAAAATTATAGACTGCTTGTCTGAGAGTTGAAAGCATACCTCAACTTACCCACAGAACCCATATACAATGACTGGAAGATTTTGTGTGGTTTTGAGTATTTTAGAAAACCTCTGTTGAATCAGTTGTTGATCACTAAGCTAATGGAACATAGATTTTAGTGGCTGCATACAACAAATAATACAAACTATAGAAACTAAGTTCAAAAAAGTCACCAATGGCCAGGCATGGTGGCTCACACCTGTAATCCCAGTATTTTGGGAGGCCAAGACAGGCAGATCACTTGAGGTCAGGAGTTCTAGACCAACCTAGCCAACATAGTGAAACTCCAGCTCTACTGAAAATCCAAAAATTAGCCAGGTGTGGTAACATGTGCCTGAATCAGGAGGCTTAGGCAAGAGAATTGCTTGACCTGAGAGGCTGAGGTTGCAGTGAGCTGAGATTGTGCCACTGCACTCCAACCATTCAGCCTGGGGAATAGAGCAAGACTCCATCTCAAAAAAAGAAAAAAATTCACCAATGAACAAGAACACAAGAAGCAGCAACCACAAACCCTGAAGAGGAAGAAGAATCTGATTTCCAAGGCTGCCAAATTATAATATTTAAAAGGTCCAGTTATTAAGACAAAATACGAGGTATAGAAATAAACAAAAATGTATTGCCCACACATAGGATAAAAAGAGTTTAAATGAACTACATTAAATCTGCTCAATAAGCTCAAGGAGCATGTACAAAGAACTAAATAAAACCATAAGAATGATGTTTAACCAAGTAGAATGCCAGTTTGTCTCTGTCCCCAGCCAAATCTCATTTTGAATTATACTCCCCATAATCCTCATGTGTTTTGGAGGGACGCAGTAGGAGGGAATTGGATCATGGGGGTGGTTTCCCCCTACTGTTCTTGTGATAGTGAGTTCTTACGAGATCTGATGTTTTTTTGTGTTTGGCATTTTCCCTGCAGGCACTCTTCTCTCCTGCCACCATGTGAAGAAGGATGTGTTTGCTTCTCCTGCCATGACTGTAAGTTTCCTGAGGACCCTCCAGTCATGCAGTACTGAGTCAAGTAAACCTCTTTCCTTTATAAATTACCCAATCTCAGACAGTTCTCTATAGCAGTGTGAGAATGGACTAATACATAGAGAATTTTAATAAAGATTTTGTAAGTAGAAATTATAGAAAGAAACCTAATAAATATAGAACCAAATGGAAATTGTAATTAAAAGTAAAATAACTAAAATGAAGAATTTAATCAAGGGATTCAACAACATATTTGAGGAAGTGAAAGTATGAATCAGTGAGTGTGGAAATAAGTTAATTGTGACCATCTGCCTGCAGAATAGAAACAAACAAAAATAGAAAAATAAACAGAGACTAAGAGATCTGTGGGACACCCCATCATGTGTACCAACATGCACATAATTGAAGTAGCACAGGAGGAGAGACAGAGAACAAATAAAGCAGAAAGAATATTTGAACAAATAATGCCTGAAAACTTTCCTTGTAAAGACATGAATCTGAAGAGCTAAATGCATCTTTAATAGAATAAACACAAAACGATCTACACCAAGACACATTATAGTCAAACTGCTGAAAGTCAAAAACAAAGATAGAATCCAGGAAGAATTAAGAAGCAACTCTCCAAGTAGAAGTAATCCTGGATAAAGTTCACAGCTCATATCTCATCAAAAGTAATGAACACCAGAAGGTTGTGGGATGATATACCTACGAGGTTGAATCCCAGCACAGACCAATAAAGAGTTCCAAAATTGAATCAATAATGAAAAGCCTACCAACCAGAAATAGCCCAGGACCAGATGGATTCACAAATTCTACCAGATGTATAAGGAAGAGCTGGTATCATTCCTACTGAAACTATTCCAAAAAATTGAGGAGGAAGGATTCGTTCCTAATTCATTTTATGAGTCCAGGATCATCCAGAATCCAAAACCTGGCAGAGACACAACAAAAAACAAAAACTTCAGGACAATATCCTTGATTAACATAGATGCAAAAATTCTCAACAAAATACCAGCAAATTAAATCCAGCAGCACATCAAAAAGCTAATCCACTACAACCAAGTATGTTTCATCCCTTGGATGCAAGATTGATTCAGCACACATGTAAATCAGTAAATGTTATTTACCACATAGACAGAACTAAAAACAAAAGCCACAAGATGATTTCAATAGATTCAGAAAAGGCTTTCAACAAATCTCAACATCCCTTCATGTTAAAAACCCTCAACAATCTAGGTATTAAAGAAATATACCTCAAAATAGTAAGAGCCATATATGAAGAACTCACAGCCGACATCATACTGGACAATAGAATAAATTTGGAAGGGCTCTCTCCTTCAACTTTTCAAAAGAGTTTGAGAATAATTGGTATTAATACTATTATAAAAAA